GTAGTGGTTAGACTTTGTGGTTTTTAATTGATTTCATAAAAATTTAAGGCTATCCATAGCTATATTTCAGAGAACTGCAATTATAAAGCTGAGCCCACATAATTACTAACCACAGTAATATACATTTATACAATCCACTTTTTGACCTGTTTATGAATACTGTTTGCTTACCATTGCTATCCACTGGGCTGTCACTAGTATATTTCAGTGTTTCTGCTGTACAAAATATACATGCTATTATGGCCTATAGAAGGTTATGTTTTGATTTTAAATATTTCTAAAATAATTCCCCTTCCAAAAACATAAATGAATGTCTCAAATTGTTTTCCGTAATTATGTTTTTGTTATTTTGGACTCTAGGGATTTTGATCTTTCAGGACTTCCACATGTAAAATTATAACATTCAGGACTATGTCTTTCAAGACTATGACCCAAACCCCTGCAATACCAGCCAGCTATATGAGCTGGCCTTGCTGCATAGGAATTCACTCATCAAACCCAACACCCCTGAGATATGAGTATAAATTTCTTCTAAGGGTAGTGTTCCTACAACCTAATTACCTGCCATTAAAGAACATCTCCTATCAACATGGTTACAGTGGGAACCAAAAGCATACAAAATTTGGAGGTACACATCATACCTAAACAATAGCATTTCCACACGTTTTAGTTTTGTGGAAGATGGATCATAATGCATATATTCTTAGGTAATTTCTCACTCAATATGATATTTTTAATATTTATTTAAATATTTTTAATAGTTTATATTTTTAATATTTATTTATAAGAATGTATATTGCTATGGCCCATTCATTTTCAATTTACCTATTCATTCTAGACCTAAGGGTTATTTCCAGAGTCTTGTTCTTAGAAACAGTGGCTTGTAAACATCATCTACATGTTTTGATAAAAAAGAATATTTATGGGCTGGGAAGGTGGCTCAGTGGTAGAGCGCTTGCCTTGCATGCATGAGGCCCTGGGTTCGATTCCTCAGCACCACATAAGCCAAAAAAAAAAAAAAGCCGGAAGTGGCACTGTGGCTCAAGTGGTAGAGCACTAGCCTTGAGCTGAAGAGCTGAGGGACAGCGCCCAGTCCCAGAGTTCAGGCCCCACGACCGGACCCAAAAAAAAAAAAAAGAAAAGAATATTTATATAAAGGTAATTGCTTCATTATGTTTCTGGATTTTATGGTCACTTGGCTATTAGAAACTAAGGCTTACCGAGACCAAGAAAAACCTGTTCAAGATTACATAGCTAGGTAGTAGACTTAAAAATCAATCAATTTTACTGCTTCCTATTTAAAGAAGGGAACTCAAGGTTTCCTTGAATGCACTCAGAAAAAATGTAATTATTTAAAAACTGTAATAAATAATGTTTTACTCGTTTCATATAAACATTTTAAAAGGCACTAGGGCATGGCTCATGGTAGAGCCCTTGTCTAACAGGCATGAGGTACTGGGTAGCCCTAAGTGCAACCCTAGTACTTCTAAATGAATGAATGAAATGAAGAAATAAATAGTTCAAAAAGAAGACATGGCCACTAATTCCTCAAGTCTACTTCTTGACTACTTGTAACAACTAAATTAATAAACATTATATGATTAATATTGTTCCTGTTGAACTATCCTGTAGTTCTCCATTCTTAAATTCTAGTCAAATGTTTTGTAATTGTGCTTGGTTCAACATTACACACACACACACACACACACACACACACACACACACACACAAACACACACACACACACACACACACACGATAAATATGTTGGGATGTGTTTAAATTTTGTAAATAAAAAATTATTAAAAATAGAAATAAAATTGTTCTCAAGTTGGTTATAATTTTTTCAATTTGGTTATATAATTTTAAATTAAACTATAAGCACTTTTATTTTTACTATGGCTGAATTTAATTTTAGGACTGCAGTGAATGTGTTGTTTGTTTTTTAGGGTATTGGAGTTTGCACTCAGGGCCCTGAGTTTGTTGAGCAGATAATCTATCACTGAAGCCATAACCCAACACTTTTTGCTTTAGTTACTTTTTCCAATAGGGCCTCACATTTTAAGCTGGGGTTACTCTGTACTGTGAACCTCTGATTTATGTCTACGACATGGCTGGAAGTACAGGAATGAGCCACATGCCAGACATAATCATTTAAAAATACCATATATTTACTTTAGAAATTACTTGAGATAGTTTTAAAAAATAATCTGTATGTCACCTAAACTGATCAAATAATTTCAAAGAACCTAACTTTATTCTTATTTAAAAAAAAAAGAGCTGGACATCAGTGACTTTGCCTCTAATCCTAGCTGCTCAGGAGGCCAAGATCTGGAGAACAGAGGTTCAAAAGTCAGCCCCAACAAAAAAAGTTCATGGGAGAGTTCAACCTGATCAATAGATGGACACAGTGGCAAGTGCCTGTTATACCAGTTGTAGGGCAAACACAACGGCTGGTACAGGATCACAGACTTCTCATCTCCAACTATATAGGGAAGCACATGTAGGAGGATCTCAGCTCAAGCATAAAGCAAGATCCTACCTTGAAAACAGCCAAGACTAAAAGGAGCATGGTTCAAGTGGTAGATCAATTCCCTTAGTAAGCAAGCAAGAGACCCTGAATTCAATGCCCAGACTGTCAAAAAGAAAAAAAAATCACACATGGGGGTTGGAAGTGTGGATTAAGAGAAGAACATCTGCCTTCCAAGGGCAAGGCCCCTACAAATCATGCATGAATGTAGACCTGTTGCATATACTAGCTAGGCTCCTCTCTCTCTCTTAACCATGTAAACCTGCCATTTTATTTCAAACCTCTACATGGGGCACACTGTCATCCATCTACTAAAGAATGAGGCAGGATCATGGGCTTTCTAAGATATTCTAGAGCAGCAGACAGATACTGTTGAGGCTCACACAGAAAATAACTACTGAGCTTGCTGATAGTAACAAGCTCAGAATTCAAGACAGTGTCATGCTCCCAAATATTCTTTTTAATCATATGGTGACAATAAATGTGTGTTGTTCCAGAATAAAAACAACTGGTTAAGGCAAGAATCATTTTTTTTTCTTTCCCCTAACAAGACCCTTGCTGTATAGTATTACAGAAGTTACGTTTACATAAGGAAGCCAAGGGTAAAAGGAAGCCCTGTTTCCCCATGAAGATATACAGCATTCCATCTTGCTTCCTCTAAGTCTAGCAGTGCTGTGCAAATAGGACTTTCTGTGATAAGTGTTCTATATTGTCACATATGCCCATGATGTAACAAGTATGACTGGGAGACTGAGTTTTAAATTTGAATAAACCTAAATTTAAATAGCTACATGGGACTAAAACTATAATATTGACAATGCAGCTCCCTGGTTTTGTCTTTTGTTTCTTTTGTCTATAAATCAGGAACTTGAAGCATGTGTGTATACATGCTTTCTTGCTGCTAATCCAAACAGTACCTCCAACATTGCAAATTCAGTTCTACCTCCTACCTTGTGCCTAACACAGCTGTCCACTTTTCTTCATTCAGGCAGTACTTTCATTTTAAAGCCCTGGCAGCCCTGAGTTAACTATTACTAACCAGTCACTCTCACTATCTGTATTCCATGCTATTCAGTGCTCCTAAAAGTCAGCAATTATATTCATTTCTGAATCTCTGGAGCTTAACCAAGTGCCATAGGTACTCCTGTGCTCCCCTAGGCGATTTATTAAATTGACAGTCCCAATCCTTCACTATTTCACAGTTTGGGGTCTGTCAGTACTGGAGTTTGAAGTCAGGGCTTGCACTTGCTAAAGATGCATTCTATCTATCACCTGAACCTCACCCTCAACCACTTTTGCTTTTGTTTGTTTGTTGAGATAGGGTCTTTCTTCTTTGCCTAGGCCCAGTCTCAGGCTGCAGTCCTTCTACTTTTGCCATCCAGGTAGCTAGAATTACAGCTGTGAAACTTGCCTGTCTGTTTTTGTTGAACCAGGGTGCTGGCCTCAACCAACAATCCTGAGCTTCACTTCCCAAGTAGCTGCTATTATAGGCTAGTGCCACCAAACTCAAGACACTTGCAAATTTGTAATTTCACCCACAACCAACATAATGGAACTAGAAGCTGTTTGTGCTATTTGTATCAAAGGCTGTGTGATACTTCTATACATATATTTGTTCAGTAGAAACCGCTGTAAAAATAGTAGAGTTCACTCTTATTAGAAATAACAATTACTTAGGCATACCTTGAAACTCAGAACTAGAAACAAACGAGGGTTTTTAACATAGTGGTAGCATTTTCAATCAGTGCAACTCGTCAATGAGTTCACTTTGGGACCCAGTGCAGATAAATGAATACAGGCACTCTTACGTGAAGATACACAACCTTGGAAGTACTGACAAGGCACAACCAATTGCACATGAGGAAAACAGGCAACGTATGTTTCCTGACAGCCAAATAAACAGAGATTCAACCTATCACTCAAGCATGATAAACGCTAATGAATAATCAAAGAAGAAAGTAAGGCATTCTATTTCTTTCCCAAAATAGTAAGTCTTCCATTTTCATGAAAATGAAAAATCAGGAAAACACGACCTGGCGTTCATTTAGCAGAATTAGAGAAAGCCTCGATGTTAGACCAGTTACCTCAAGGACCACATTTTGTTCATTTTCACTCTGTAGATGCTGCTCCAGAGCATCACAGCTTCCCCGCGCGCAAGGTTTCAGAGATCTTTCATTTTAAATGAAAACTTCAGTGGTTTTACCAGCTGACATTCTGCCCGCAACAACCAGTGCCTCCCAGTCAGCTGCCCCACTTTCTTGGAACGCAGGTTTGGCATAACAACACTGCACAAGGCGTTTTCAAGTGCACTCTAGAACCCAGTTGCCTTCTCTCACCTCTAATATTCTGAGCCGAGAAGGGACCCGCTTCTGAGCCTGCCCGCACATCCGAGCAGATCCGCACCGGAGGAAAGAAAGGCTCCCAACCGCGTGCCGGACCCTACCCGGAAAAGTCTGGCCTTGGGACTCACCTGTCTCACCGCGCAGCCCCGGTGGCCTTGGAGGAGGCGCCCCGCAAACACTCTCCCAGGCCCCCCCCGACAGTGTCACACACGTGGGACCCCCGGCGCTACGAACGGGTGGGCTTGTTCCGAGCAAGGCGCGCGCCCTTTTCTGGAGTCTGGAAGCCTCGGCCGCGGACTTTCGCTCAGGTGTTCGTGCCTCGTCGCCTAGCAACGGGAGAAGCCGTGGCGTCTTCCGCACTCATCAGTTCCCTCCGCCCTTCACCAGCGTGCACAGTATTTTTAAAAGGTTTGTTTCCGGGTCGGGCCGGCTTGACGCAGCGGAAGATCTCTTCGCCTCCCACGCTCAGCATCAAGCACTGAGTAATCTCGGCTGCTCGCGTGTAGGTGATGTCGCTCAGGGATCTGTCTCGTCCTCTTTCAAGTTACACACGCCTTCTCTCCCGCCAATTGCTGCACGCCATCAGGCAGCCTTTCCCCTCCCGGACCCAAACCATCCGCTCGTCGTTGTCCTCCAATCACAGAGGCTCGTCCTCGGGGACTATTTTTGCAATAGGCTAAGGGCGCAAGGACAAAGGCGCGATGAGACTTTGCGCTCTCGGGAATTGTAGTTCAGCCTTGAGGAAATGCTTTGGAGCCCGCGCCAGAGCCTGGGCCGCCGAAACTACATTTCCCGGGGGGCGTCGCGGCAGGGAGCCGAGCCTTTTCTAGCGAGCACCACACATCTTCCCCGAGTCGGTTCCGCCGTAAAGGTGACCTGACTACCGGACCCTCGTTTTTGCAGGTGCAGAAGTTATCGGCGCAATTCCTAATCATGGTGAGTGTGGGCCCCTAGCTCCTGCACTGCCTCTGGCTTCGTGCCCTTCACTGGGATTTACTGTGCTTGATGAGGTTTTGGAAGGTCCCCGTGCAAGACCGTTGTCTTTGGTGCTATTTGTAAAGCATCTTCTGGGAACTGTCGCAGTAACCTCTTAATTGGGAGGAAGTTGATTTTTCCCCTGGGGAGTTGTTCGAAGGCTCTGGAGCAATCGCTGCCTTGGAGAAGTGTAATCTCAATCCTGCTGCCAGGTCAGGGGACAAACGAGAGTCCTGATTTTCTCCCAAGGGCAGTAGAGGATTTCATAAGAACGTAGAGGTCTGATGGGAGGAGAAAGTCGTATTCTAATCTCTTTTTCTTTCTTAAGTCGTAATGTTATTAAGAGCTTTTGTCACACAGCCCTTGAAAGCAAAAAGCTCTGGGCTGTTAAGGTACTGCTTACTCACCTTGCAGGAGACCTGTCTCCGCCATATCTAGTTTTACAAAATGTTATTTAAACCCGTGTGGAACTCCTTTCCCACTGCCAGGGACACGTTAGCGTCACACGCCAAATAAACTAGGGCAGATATTCTTTATGGTGGCCTGTTGTATGAATTCCGAAGCACTATTTGTAACCCGCTAAACCATCATGTGGTTGAAGATCTGGATCTGGATCTCCACGTCTTGTCCCTGATGTAGCCAGGGAGGCAGGGAGGGAGCGGTGACGTAAGAGTAATCTGCGCACTGTTTGAAGGTGACATTTGCTACCAGACTGGAAAAATTGCCTCAGTGGTCGTACTTACATCCAGATACATTTTTCTTCTTTATCTCAAAATACTGAAGTGAGTGAGGATTGTAAAAACAACAACGACAAAAAATGCTTGAATGAACTGGAAATTGCCCAGAATCCGGGAAAAAACAAACATGTTTTCAAGGCAAAGCCGTTACTCATTCAACCTTTATAAAAGGCTTGAAGGGGACAGTGTTATTTTATAGTAACTGTTTCCTATTGTCAGACAACTAGTCATTTAAATTTTAGTTGCAGTGGTTTCTGTCCTAATAATCTTAAAAAAGAAGAAACTTATTATCAGAAAACCTACAATATAATTTTAGAACTGGATGCAGCCTTTACAGAGAACATCTTGACAAACATCCCCACTTGGAATATTAAAAATGAGTTTATTAAGGCCCAGAGAAAATTATTTGCTCAAGGTCACACAAGGTTTATACTGAGGATCCCACATACAATATTGTCACATACTTATCAAATCATTATGAAATTTTACTTTTAGTAGCTGAAGTTCTGAATGAAGATACAAGTTCATTATGATGCAGATTATCTAATCTCTCTATTCTTTGTAACTCAATATTAGAATTTGGAAACTGGAGGTTTCATCTATCTTAAAATGTAGCCTGATGAGGTCAAATGATTTTCCCCAAATTACAGCTCCCATGGCTTGATTCTGTGTTGTTGTTGCTACAAAGTAGACCAGCCAGGCCTAACCCCTGGAAGGTGGGTAGTAACACAAAAGATGGTCCATGTGTATGAATGCCTCACAAGATTCAGAATCTTCTGGCCTCTTCAGAAGAGCATGTAAAGGAAATCATTGATTTAGCAAAGAGCCACCGATCGATGTGGAAGAAATAATTGTATTGTCAATGCTCACAGAATTCACAAACATTATAGACCATGATAATGACAATTTGTCTTGTGAAGGTTAAAATGTGTTTGTGACTTTAAGTATCACTATCCCACAATACTGTGAAATTTGTGAAATTTATGTATTCACTTAATCTCAATAAAAAATTATTAAATGATGGTATATGCCGTTAATCCTAGCACTTGGGATGCTAGGGCAGGAGGATCAAGAGTTTGAAGCCAGCCAGGACTACAAAGACCTGTTTTCAAAAAAAAGGAAAGCCTTTTTGTAAACCAATCTGAAGAAGTTTTAAAGGAAGGGATTCTTTGCTTGCATTCATAAAGAATAACAGCAAAAATAAATGTATGAGAGAATCTGATACTGCTTATCATTTGAATTACAGAAATATATGTAAATTAGGAATATGTGCATTTTTCTGTGGAATAACAGAAGAAACACTTAAATTCTAGCTTTGCAACTGACACTTTAGCACATTCTCAAGATAGGGCCTGCATCTGCAGCAAGGTCATTAGTCCCCCGCCAAGAGCAAAGACATTCCTTCTTGGATTTTGGCAGACTGCCCAGAATCTGAGCAAAGAATAGTAACCTGCATTGGCACTGAAACATTGTGAGAAATCAGTGGGACTCCCACCATCCTGCTTTTCAATTGCTGTGTTTCAGAAGAACCCTAAGAACCAAATATGTGCTTCCTTACCTATTTCATCATCAAACATTCAGTTACTAACTAGGCTTCATATTACCCATAACAAGATTGCCTACCTTAGAAAATCTGTCCAGAGACACGGAAATCAACTGCTGAGATTGAATTAGTTGTTCATTAGTTGGCCACAGCCTCTTCACTAAGGACTGGGAACAGATTTTTTTTTTTAAAGAAGCTAAAATGAACTCCTAAAATTGACTATTCTAACCATCTACTTGACTTTCTGGGAGATGAAACTTGATAGATGCTGTCTTTTCCCACTCATTTCTAATAGAGACAGTATGTGTTCATCTTTTTCTGGACCTTTTTCATTCAACACGATAGTTTTAGTTGATCACTATATGAGAGTGCAAATATGAGTCAAAGGCATATTTGTTCTCAAGTAACAGGCATGGAAAAAATTCAGTCCCTAAGAATCCTTAAAGGAAAATTCTGTGATGACAGAGACTATAATTCTAACAACTATCTCAATCTAACAAACCCTGTCTGTTAGGTAGCTGCTATTATTATCTCCATTTCATTATGACAAAACAGTAGAGAGGTTAAGTAACTTACCCAAGATCAGAGAACTAATGACTTGTGGAGCCCAGACTTGAGGCCATCTCTTTAATTGCTTGCTACTTCATACTGCCTCTAGTCCTGTTTTAGACAATTGGCTTATCTGCTGTAAATCCATTTAGTTCACAAATAAATTCCTCAGCTTAAATTAGTACCAAGCACATGATAGGAATTCAATTGTGTATTATTTAATAAGTGAGTTAAATATTATCCGTTGATTGATAAGATTATACCATTAGAAATTGTGCCATCGTTTTGCTCATTATAGCTGAAAGTATGCTTTTCCAACCTTCGCAGTAAAATTATATATGAATGAAATAAAATGGCTTTAAATATTTAAAATGTATATTCCATATGCTTCTAAATGGTTCTTAAACATTTCAAGCATTTGGTAGCAGTATAAACAAGATCCAGTTATTTCTAAAGTAAGTACTTACACTCCAACTAATGTGCCAGGTATTTTAGTTACTTGAATAGCAATAAATAAAGGAAACAGTTTGTTTTGTTTTGTTTTTAAGGCCTTAAGGAGCCTGTATATAAAGGGAAAAAAATTTCTTCATTCCCTTTTTCTCATCTGCTCTACTTGACTTCAAGGAAAAGGGGACCATGAGAAGCTGAAAAACATGTATAGGGCATGAAAGATTTTTTTTCCATAAGTTGCAGTAACTCTTAGTAATGATAGATCAAAACATAAATGTTGTGGAGCTTTATATAATAGAAAATATTCATGTATAGTAATAGTGTTCTTCATAAATCTATTTAGGAATATGAAATTAATTGTCAAAACTGGATATTTTATAATGCTAATCACATTTTGCTTATTCAGAGATATGAAGACCTGGAGCAAAAGTAGTGGGGAAAAAAAATAACAGTTGACACTTTCCTGAGATTTTGTCTTTCTCTTTGACATCTACAATAAACATCATGGTGCTACCTTCTGAGCTTAGGTTTAGAAGGTTCACTGGTGCCTTCCTTCAAGGTCATCATCTTCTCTCTGGGTCAGGGGGATGACTCATCTGGAAGAGAGAATTCTAAATAAAACTTCTGTCTCCAGTCAGTTCCGTGGGACGTTTCTTCATGCAGATAGGCGTAGGGGTGACAAAGAGTAGAAGCACATTTATCCAGCATTAGGAAAGAAATAGTTCATCTGTTTTTTAAATTCTCTGAGTTTAAGTTAACCTATTTATTAATGACTCAAGGTCATTTCTTTGATTTTTGATTTTTTTTTTTTGGTCATGGCGCATGAACTTTGGGCCTGGGCACTGTCCTTCAGCTCTTTAGCTCAAGGCTAGTGCTCTGCCATTTGAGCCATAGCACCACTTGTGGATTTTTCTGTTTATGTGGTGCTGAGGAATCAAACCCAGGGCCTCATGCTCATGCATGAGAGGCACTCTACCACTGAGCCACCTTCCCAGCCCTGCTTTGAATATTATTTTATTCAAAGTCTCTTCCAGTCTACAAAACTACTTTCTGTTATAACTACAGTATTCTTTGTATGGCTTCATACCCCTTTTAAAAATAATTTTTTTACATAATAATGGCCTTTTGTAATCATACTTAACTGTCACTACCTGTTACTATTGTCATTTATTGCTGTTTAATACTAAAATTCATTATAATTCAGATATTCTCATTTTCTTAAAAAAAAATAATAGCCTTCCTTTTCTAGGTAGATTGTTTTATTAAAACATTTTGGTTTAATGTAAATGGAAAGTTTTAATCATTGTTACTTGGTCCTGGTGTGAGTCTACTGAGCAGGTGTACATGGGGATTTGCATAATAAGGACTGTGAGGTTCTTCTGGGTTTGTAACATACAATTATTGTGAATTTAGTAGTAAAATATCACCCCCCCCCCCCAAAAGGGGTAAGATTACCTAATAAATACAAAATTATTTTCCCTACATTGTGAGAGTTACTAAATAGGGGGACAAAGGATACATACTCTGTTGATTTGTATCTACTATATTAATTGAAACAAATAAGTTCCTTTTCTGCTAAGCTAGTTATAAAGAGAATAAAAGGTTACATTCACTTCTTTTGCTTTTGGTGCCAGAAATTGCTAAAGCACTGAGCTACAGCTCTAGATTGCTTGAGACAGGGTCTCTCTAATTTAGCCTAGCCTGTATCTCCATATGTGTGTGACCCAGGATGGCCTTGATCTGGTGATCCTCCTTAGTCTGCCTCCCAAGGGCTAGGATTATAGTTGTGTGTGTGTTCATATGCATGTGTGTGCACCAGTTTGGGGGATTGAACTCAGGGTCTGGATGCTGTCCTTGAGCTTTTTTGCTCAAGGTTAGCATTCTGCCACTTTTGAGCCATATCTCCACTTCAGACATTTTACTGGTTAATTGGAGATAATCTCACAGACTTTCCTGCTAGGCCTTGATTCTCAGTTCTCAACTTCCTGAGTTGGGTTCCAGGTATGAGCCACTGGCACCTGGCTTGCTTTCATTTTGAATATATGTTTGTCTTGTTAAAATCTAATTATATACTTTGTTAAAATAGTAATAAGATGTGAATGGATCTTTTCATTACAGTCTGAACCAATCAGAGTCCTTGTAACTGGAGCAGCTGGTCAAATTGCATATTCACTGTTATACAGTATCGGAAATGGATCCATCTTTGGTAAAGACCAGGTAGGGGCATATCTATAAGTCTTGCTATTAGAATAAGAATATTGTTTGTAAAACCTATAATTAATTGCACACACATTATTCTATGGTGAAGGGATGAGTGGTCCCATTAACTGCAATAGACAGTTTGCTATAAATGGAACTGGTAATGTGTTTACGTGCATCCTTCCAGGCATTGCAAATAATTGCCAGTCAAAATTCTTTCACCTAACGCAGTTAACTTGGTGAAACCAGCAGGTGACAGTCACTGCTGTCACTGATGACAAGGGCTGCTGGGAGAGAAAGTTGATAAAGTGAGAATGTTAATGAATCAGCATGTCCTTATTCACAAATGGTCTTTTGATCCAAAAATAGTCAAATAGAAAAAATATGCTACCCAGCAGGAAACAGACATCCCAAATTCTGGCAAGTCTGATTAATATGCATTTATTTATTCATTCTTGCTCTTGATTTATACATAGTTGAATCCTTCCTTCATGTCAGATATTATATGTAGCTATCTAAGAACTTCAATAGTTAATAGTAATAATAAGAGCAAGCTATTGGCATCTTACTTCAAAATTATGTTTGTTTCACATACTCCTCTAAATTTCAGTAAGATTAAGATAATTCTTTTCACTGCATCTTTTCTTTTCTCTTCCTTTCTTTTCTTTTCTTATCTTTTTTTTTTTTGTCACTGTGGGGCTTGAACTCAGGGCCTGGGTGCTATCCCTGAGCCTCACTGTGCACAAGGCTAGTGCTCTACCAGTTAAGCCACAGTTTAATTGGAGATAAGAGTCTCAAAAGGACTTTTCTGCCCAGGCTGGCTTGGAACTGTGATCCTCCGATCTCAGCCTCCTGAGTAGCTAGGATTACAGGCATAAGCCACTGGTGTGGGCTCTTTCACTGCATCTTTTAACAAAGCATTACTACTTTTGTAGTACTCCTTTTGCCAGAGTGGTATAGTATTAGCTACCTGAGCTCCTAAAAGAGTGGTTGTGACTAATTAATGAAATTATAGATGTGTAAACAAACTATGAAAGAGACTTTTTTTCTGAGTGGAAGACCTGACCTACACTGACAGACACTGCCCTTGCTATTTGGCAGCCTATAATTCTTGTGCTGTTGGATATTACTCCCATGATGGGTGTTCTGGAGGGTGTCCTAATGGAACTTCAAGACTGTGCCCTTCCCCTCCTGAGAGGTAAGTTGGGGAGGTAAAGGGAAGGGTTTTGTAATATTTTATATCTGCCAAAACATAGATTTGAAATTTTTGCCAAAGATTTAATTAGAAATTATGTCATAGAGATATTTTATTTTTGTTTCTTTAATCACAAGTACTTTTTAACATGAATACTGAGAATAAATAAGGGGAAAAGTAAGAAACAGTTCATGTCAAGTAAAGAACTTCTTTTTCCTCAATGTTTATATATACTCTATTGTACTGATTAGGTATGCTTAAAGATTATACATCTAAGATTGCCAACATTGTGGCATTAGCACAATAGTAATTAGCTAATTAGCTAATAGTAATAGAAATTCAGTGCTAATGCTGGCAGTAACAGAAACTCAATTCTGAAGGATGCCCTTCAGAGCCATACACAACCCTAGACATTAGCTATTCCATTATATGTGGTCCCATTCTACCTAGCTGCCATCAGGTTGAGACATAGTGTAAGCTGGCACAATCATAAACTATGTAGTTTAATAAAAATTCATATGTATGCATATAAATGCCTTTGAGAATCATTGAACTACTATGCAAATGTAAGACCAGAGACTTAAATGTGATTGAAAAGTTAATTCAGCTATCATATCAGATTTTGATTTGACTATTATTAAATTGACACTGTATCATAGTAATTGAACTCTGGTCTCTGGACTGACTTAGGCTAGGATTACAGCCTCATTATCTTATCACGGTGAGTAGTTCAGCTGTTTAAACTTAAGTTTCTTCATCTATAAATTATGAGAATTATAATATACATCTCTTAGCATTATTCCTGGTATATTCCTCAATAAACATTTACTATTTTCAATTCATAATTTGTATCTTAAACCTTAAAGCAGGGCAAGGAAGGTAGCTCAGCGGTAGAGTGCTTGCCTTGCATGCATGAGGCCTTGGGTTCGATTTCTCAGCACCACATAAACAGAAAAAGCCAGAAGTGGCGCTGTGGCTCAAGTGGTAGAGCGCTAGCCTTGAGCTGAAGAGCTCAGGGACAGTGCCCAGACCTAGAGTTCAAGCCCCATGACTGACAAAAAAAAAAAAAAAAAAAAACCTTAAAGCAATTGTAATTTAAAAGACTAATTAGTTGCTCCCTTGTGTTATCTATAATAATATGTACAAAGTACATGTTGCTTCAAAAGTTATTATATTAAAGTCTGAATTATATAATTGTGAATAATGAATTGTCAAAGTTAATTATTGAAAGAGGAAATGAAAAATAAATGTTGCCATTTCTGGTGGTGAAATGAATATATATTGTCCTTCCTTTCTTCAGTCCTAAAGGGGGTACAGTCTCCTAAGTAAAAGTTTGTTATTCTGTCAAAGTATAAATGAGTAGATTCAGTATGAAAAAGAAAACTTTACACTTGAATATTTAAGTAGCTCTGCATGTTGTTTGCTGTGTCCACAGATGTCATCGCAACAGACAAAGAAGATGTTGCCTTCAAAGACCTGGATGTTGCTGTCCTTGTGGGCTCCATGCCAAGAAGGGAGGGCATGGAGAGGAAGGATTTACTGAAAGCAAATGTGAAAATCTTCAAAATCCAGGGTGCAGCCTTGGACAAATATGCTAAGAAATCAGTGAAGGTAACTAATATCATACTTAAATGAAGATTTTAATTATTTGTACTTTGAAACTTCTGCTTTTGGTGTTTAAGTGAAAAACTGCCTTTTTGTTTCTGATTCTGTGCTATGGTAATAAATATAGACACAGAGTTTTGCTTGATAAAATCTCTCTGGATCTCCTTTTTTGTAGTATAGAAGTCTGTATGCAGAAGTGCTGGGAGATATTTTTCCTGTTAGCATGACATGGAAATATAGTATCTATTCTTTTTTTCTTTCTTTTTTTTTTTTTTGGCCGGTCATGGGGCCTAAACTCTGGCCTGGGCACTATCCCTCAGCTCTTCAGCTCAAGGCTAGGACTCTACCCTGGAGCCATAGCGCCACTTCCGGCTTTTTCTGTTTATGTGGTGCTGAGGAATCAACCCAGGGCCTCATGCCTGCAAGGCAAGCATTCTACCACTGAGCCACCTTCCCAGCCCCTATAGTATTTATTCTTAAGGACAACTTTGTGATGCTTTTTGCTGTGTGGGACTGCTTCAGACCTACATTTGTGTGTTTAATTATGAAAAGAGATGGTCATGAGACCCATTTGTTCTTTGCAACAAGAGATAGTACCTTCTGAATGTCCCCCCTCCCAAAAAAAAATTTTTTTTTTCTAATCTTGGGGTTTGAATTCAAGGCCTAGGTACTTTCCCTGAGCTAGTGCTCTTCCACTTGAGCCACAGCTCCACTTCTAGCTTTTTTGTGTTAACTGGAGATAAGTGTCTCTGAGACTTTCCTGCCTAGGCTGACTTCACTGCAATCTTCAAATCTCATCCTCCTGAGTAGATAGGCTTACAGGTAGATAGGCTTACCAGCACCTGGCTTATGCCCAGATTTTCTTAATGTGAATGAATTTAAGTATGTTGTTTTTTAAGAAATGGAGTCATTATGACTTCCTGTTTGGTCTCTTTGTGTTCAAGGTGTTTTCATTTGTTTCTAAATTTTTCTTAATATTATAAAACACTGCCTTTTACCAATGAAGTAACAAGTTAACTAGAACTAAACTTTTGCATAAAAAAGATTTACTAGATAGGGGTATACTATCAATATACTTTCCTATCAATGACTTGTTTAAAAAGTATCAGAAAATGTCTTTGTTTTAAAAAGAGAATTTTCAAGTCGGCAATTAGAATCTTCTATCTGTGATACTTCACAGATTTCTACATTTGTTTCCTCTATTTAATAGTTTTTATTTCCTATAATCATTAACAGAAGTAATAGAAATGAGTTGAGTTAGAAAAGCACAGATCTCCTGGTAAGATTACAAGGGCATTCAGACTGCTGAGCTATGGGCTCTAGACTGACTGGCTTTATAGTTCTGCTGCCAGAAATGTCCTTGTTGGGGGCAAGTAGTATTACTGACACTGTAATACTTAGAAGCAGTAGAATACATTAGCTGTAGCTTGCTTTCAGATGGGCCAAGAAAGATACAAGAATATCTGTGAGGAGGGAGAGTAGGAGAAAAAGAAGAGGAAAGGAGACAGAAAAGAGAAATGGAAAGGGAAAAAGAAAGGGATGGAGTAAATTGGTGAGCCTTGGTAAAGGGGATAGTCTGGAGTCAGTCTTTAAAATATGCTTGCAATTTTTCTTTTTAAAAGTTATTTTCTTAAAGTTCTCATAACTTAGAAGTCTACATATATTTCCCTATGCTTTATTATAGTTCACTATTAACTAAACCTCCACAGTACAAAAAAATAGCCTACAATATCCTAAAAATTAATAGTTGAATAGTTTGGGAGATAAGATGATTGGTAATCTCTATTTGAGAAATAGTCTAGGTACCACTGAAGATTAGGCAGTTTAAGAAACACTTTTAATTCATAGACACAAATTGTTGTCATAAACTCAAAAATAAGGAAAATTTTATGAATGACTCAACTTCAATTACTTGCTTTATGTAGTTAAGTAGATAATGGATAAATGCTGTATCTCTGTTTGGCACAAAAGCAAAATAGACATGTGCTCTAAGTATTAGCAAAGTGACTGCCATATGTAACAGTGGCTTTCTCAAAGGCATGTTTTCAATAATCATACCAAACACGAACAAACCAAAACAGAAGGGGGAAAAAGTGGATTTTACAAGGTAAGATCAAAATCCCCTACAAACTCCCAGTGGTAGTTCTATATATTTGGCTTATACAAACTTGATGTACATGCAACTATACAGCTTATAAACCCGTGCCTCCCATGCATCGTAGGTCATCGTTGTGGGAAACCCAGCCAATACCAACTGTCTGACAGCCGCCAAGTCAGCTCCGTCCATCCCTAAGGAGAACTTCAGCTGCCTGACTCGCTTGGATCACAACCGAGCTAAATCTCAAGTAAGAAAAAGGCCTTTGATTTGTTGCTTTGTATGTCCCCTCCCCCACGGTATTAACCCCTGCTTACATTGTATTTGATGTTGGTATAATTTGTGGAAGGGAAGGGAAAAAAAATCATTTAAATAGGGATACAGGTGCACCCATTGCAACAATGAGATGTACAAGTCATTATGTCAAAAAAACAAACTGTACAACTTTTTTTTTTTTTTTTTTTTGGTCGGTCGTGGGGCTTGAACTCTGGGCCTGGGCGCTGTCCCTCAGCTCTTCAGCTCAAGGCCAACGCTCTACCACTTGAGCTACAGCGCCACTTCCGGTTTTCTGGTGGTTTATTGGAGATAGGAGTCTCACGGTCTCTCCTGCCCGGGCTGGCTTTGAGCCGCGATCCTCAGAACTCAGCCTCCTGAGTAGCTAGGATTACAGGCGTGAGCCACCAGCGCCCGGCAAACTTTACAACTTTTGCGGGGGGTTGGGGGGGTAATAGGAAGGGGAAACAAAGGAGGAGGCAACAATGCTTGATAAGAAATGTACTCATTACCTTGCCCATGTAATTGTAACCTCTCTGTACGGTATTTTCACAATAAAAAAAAAAAAAAAAAAGAATTACAAGAAGGGTTAGAGGTCACAGGGAAAGTATTGTGGTAGAGGGAAAAAAAAGAAAAAGGCCTTTGAAATCAGGAGTTTCAATTTTCAAACCTTTTCCTCTTTTGAAAGAAGTTGTATTTATTAGGAAAACTTTTTTTACAATTAAATTTGTTGGACTTTAAATCTGTTCTCTTACGAGTAAGAGGTTGTCTTTCCTGCTGGATTTTATCTTCAACTAAATTTCAGTCACACACTATAATTAAATGAAGTTGCTAACATTTTTTAGGCACAGCAGTTAACAATGAGTGGCTAGTACAAATAATTCACATAGAATATTGTTTAATTTTACTATTTATGTAGGAAATTATAACACAAAGGAGTTTTGTGTTGTGTGTTTTCACTTCATTTTTTTCCCCTTCAGCTAAGTAGCACAATCAGATTTCAATTTTATGTTTAATTCTCAATTTTGTATCTTTTACTATTGTGAGTGAGTCCATAAAATATCCCTACTTTTACCACTTAGGAACTAAACTTCAGTTGTTAATTGCCTTATCCCTTTGAACTTTAAATAAATATGCCAAGGAGTCAGTGACAAGGAGATTAGCAATAGAGTTTCAAAAAATTAGAAACCAAGTCAGTTACCTGGCTACTTCCTTAGGCTTTCTCAGATCCAACTGCTTCCAGTGCCCTGGTTGTCATGATAAAGTTGAAACTCTCAGACAGAGCTTCTTTCTTGTCCCTCCCACTTTACTGGCCATGACTCTTCATCCATAACTTATCACTTCTGGATAGTTCTACAAGTGTTGTGCTTCTTCTTCTATCCAATGACAGCTTTATTTGGTTTCAAGAGAGCTGTGTTTTTAACCAGAAGATGAAAATGAAAAATTACTGTTAAACTGAGACTTTATTTTTCAGCCTTGGAACAAGTCAAAGAAAAAAGAATTTACACTTATTAGGCTTTTATTGTAAGCTAAATACTTTATATATAATTAGTGTATGTGCTTGTGCATATACATGTACATAATAACTACATTTAGAAAGTTGTTATGATGATTAAATGAGGTAAGATCTGTTTTAAGGCCTTGGGATGGTATCTGTCACATAATTAAATCCAGTGAAGGTTGACTGCTATTATTGCTGATTTTTTTTATTATTATTAAGAGGAATATATGTCTGAAGTTGAAAAGAGCCACATCTTAGGAGCTATGTCTCAACATTCCAGTTAAAAGATAACTGAATAATAAATTTAAGAAGCATACCAGCACTAGTGGCTCATGCCTGTAATCCTAGCTACTTAGAAGGCTCATGCTTGTAATCCTAGCTACTCAGGAGGCTAAGATCTGAGGATCAAGGTTCAAAGCCAGCCTGGGCAGAAAAGTCTGTGAGACTCTCCAATTAATCACAGAAAAAGCTGAAAGTGGCACTATAGCTCAAGCGATAGAGTACTTGCTAGCCTTGAGCAAAGGAGCTTAGGGACAGTGCCCAGGGTCAGAGTTCAAGATCCAGGAGTGGCAAAAAAAAAAAAAGATTTAAATATTCTCTCAGAGGTTTGGGGCTGTAGGTAGGTTCTGATGGCTAGAAAGTAACAAAAGTATAGAAACAGAAGATTTAAGTATTATGGGAGAATTATAAGGAAAAGGTACTATATGTGGTCTAGTTTTAGCCAAGCAGTTACTTCATTTAGTTCTTACAGAAAGAAAGGTAAAATGAAATCACTTGACAAAACCTACTTTGTTGTTTTCTTTGAGTTGTTAGTGGAGGTAGATGCTGGAAACCTCTGTTTCTGGAGCTATTACTCAATGGCACTTTGTCCCATTTCCTCAACCAGTTTTCTTTGTGGGAATAAAAGTCATGAATGAGCCAAGAGGAAAGAGGCTATCTTGTCAAACTTTGGACATCACTTTTTTTTTTTTTTTTTTTTTGCCAGTCCTAGGGCTTGAACTCAGGGCCTGAGTTCAAGGCTAGCACTATTCCACTTAAGCCACAGTGCCATTTCTAGCTTTTTTCTATGTATGTGGTACTGAGGAATCAAACCCAGGGCTTCATGCATGCTAGGAAAGCACTCTACCACTAAGCCACATTCCCTTGGCCATCACTTTTGGCACACATTCTTTGTGATTAAAAGTTAGGCACTGTTTCTGCATATCAGTTCAGCTTTTAGAAAGGTTTTAAAGATACAGTTTCTTCTTATAGATGTCATTTACCCAGTGAGAAAATAATAAACCCAAAGATAATTTTTTTGTACATGGATGGTAACTATTCTTATATAATTGTTTTGAAACCCAGAGGTCTTAGCTCTCTGGTGGCTGTTTATCACCTGCAGCACTCCCCTGGGTATTTATAAATCAGAGCTGAATAATTGACAGTGCTGCCAGTTAGTTGGTATTAGGGACAAGAAAATTGCTAGGGCTGGAGATTCAGCCAAAAACTTTTTAACAGATCTATATGACAAAGCTGAAAATGTCTAAGGAAGCAAAAGACTATTATTTATCCTGGATAACAGACTAGCTCTGACATGAATGATATTCAGAAATAACATCTGCTGGGTACAAAGTACCTGGTCTTGGCTGTCCAAATAAAATTGGATTAGCTCAAAAGATCAAAGAAACTAGGTAAGGTAGTCAGCACAAACAAAGGAAGTTAGAGGAGCCATGGAGACTCCTTGATGCAATTTGTCTTCACTGTGCTTTGGAATACTTGAAGCTGACATTCAAGAGGGTTATAGGTTCTTGAGTTCTTAGTAAAAACAGATCTTGGGTTACTTGCTAAATGTATAAATATAGATACAGATATTGATAAAGAAAAAGAATATTTTTAAAATATTTAACATTTTATTATAAGACATTATTATTATTATTATAAAATAATGTGATGTTAGGTTATTTTTGTCCAGCTATATATAGGCTAATGTAAGTGTTCTGAACACATGTAAGGTGCAAAGCTATGTGCTGATCTTCATCAGATTTGGTGTGTTAAAAGTGTTTTGTCTTAGAATATTTGCAACTTATGATGAGTTTGTTTGAATGTGACCATCATAAGTAGAGTGCATATATCTAACCTTTTTCCTTCAGTTTCCTAATCTATCTAATGGGAGGGTCATGTGTTGATAATTCAAGTCCCTTCAAACTCCAAAGTTTCATATGTAGGAGTACTTGAAAAATAGTTTGTATTTGGTATATCATAAGTAAGAATGTACCTAAAATACATGACTGCTCAGAAGTGCTAAGGGAACATCTCCATGTAAGTATTGACAACAAAATGAGATTACCTTTCTGTATTCAAGAAATATTAACCCTTTGATTGATGTTTTATAGATGATAAACTTTACTGTACTAATAATCACAAATTGTGAGGTACTCCCTGCCTTTAAAGTTCACAATTGTTAATGCCACTAAGTTATTTAGAAAATTGCCAAAGAGCAAAATTTGTCTGTTTCACAAATCATTTTAACTTGTATACGCTTGAAGTCAGAAGCTTTCTATCTTAAGGGCTTTTATTAAATAGGTAACATTTTTTACATAAGAACCATTTATCTAAGTAGTATGTTGGCTTTCAATTCAACCAGATTGCTCTTAAACTTGGTGTATCTGCTGATGATGTAAAGAATGTCATTATCTGGGGAAACCATTCCTCCACTCAGTATCCTGATGTCTGCCATGCCAAGGTGAAATTGCATGGAAAGGAAGTTGGTGTGTATGAAGCTCTCAAAGATGACAGCTGGCTCAAGGGAGAATTCATTACGGTGAGAAGTCTTAAGAACTCTTAGGAGTCACACCACACTGCTGGCTGTCCGCAAGGTGGAGGGGACAGCTCAGGGACTGATGTCTTTCATAGTTGTTCTGATAACTACATCTTTATTTTATTTTCCTACAAAGCCAGGTGTAGTGTACTCTGATTTTATCTGTTGTATAGCAGTTGAGGTCGATTAGTAAAATGGGAAGAAAAATTGAATCATTTGGTTATCATTATATTAAGACCTATTTCTTCATATTTAATGTGATAAATGTTCTACAGAAATATGTTGCATTGGGTTTTTTTTTTTGTTTTGTTTTTATTTTCAAGAAGACATGCTTATGACTGAATTAGGTTAGTATGCTCAACACTGGGTAGTTGAATGGTTTTGGAGAGGACACATTAAGCTAGAATTGCAGCCTTTTACCCCAGGGTAAACTTGGAATTGATGAGAATTTTCTTATGGTCAAGTAACACTGCTCCCTCTACCTGCCCCCACCTCAGAGTGTGCAGCAGCGTGGTGCTGCTGTCATCAAGGCTCGGAAACTGTCCAGCGCAATGTCTGCTGCAAAAGCCATCGGTGACCACATCAGAGACATCTGGTTTGGAACCCCAGAGGTAAGGACGCCGATTTGTATGGCCCGTGCAAATTTTTGTTCCCTGATGGTGTAATATAAAAGGAGCCTGACCTTAGCAATCAAGCCAAATAGGTTCATTTTCCAGCCAAGAAACCTTGGGAAACTCTTAACTTTCCTAAGCTATTGTCATTCATTACATTTATCATACATGATTGTGCTGGTTAAGTGAAATTATATTTGGAAAGCCATTTTTCTTCTTAAAACCAATTTTGAACCAGAGTTTCCTTAGGTGTAAAGATGATACTTCTTTGGCCTATCTGACACCTAGTTTGGAAAAATTGAATGTGATAGTATCCATGAATGTTAACTTGTCATGGAAAGGCATAGTACTGAGGAAATTCCTTATATTCACAGTTAAGGAAGTCACCTGGCTTTCCTTTGTTAGTTTATATGTCAGTTGGTTATAAAAAGTAATCCCTGTGCCTCAGGAGAATGCACGATATTTTTCAGGGGGAGTTTGTGTCTATGGGTGTTATCTCTGATGGCAACTCCTATGGTGTTCCTGATGATCTTCTCTACTCATTCCCTGTTGTAATCAAGGTAAGAGTGAGGGTTTTGGGGTAGGCATTTGGATGTTGTTAGAGGGAGAGGGAGTCACTCCTATGAGAAAGTAGTCACTTTTATTTAATTTTTTCTGCTTTAAAATTCTATAAACCACAACTTCAAGTTGTAATGACTATAGAAAAGAAAATTCATCTCCACTAGACACATTATGTTATTATACCTCTAGTATCAGATACCAACAAATAATGTCTATTATAATTTTCAAATGAAGCAATGGTTCTCATCATTCCTTTTTTTTTTTTTAAGATTTAGTGGATTTTAAATTCAAGTGTTGACTTATATCAGAATCATCTTCTAATTAAGTTTTGGGTTCTGGGCTGGGATTATGCTCAGTAGTTTCTGATTACTTCTTTAGAATCAGACTTTAAAACAGGAACAAACAGATATAAATTCCAACTAGATTGTTGCCTGCTAACAGATCCCTCTTAGTTTCATTATAAATCTCTTACTTGCAATTATTTTCACACAGAATAAGGCCTGGAAATTTGTTGAAGGTCTCCCAATTAATGATTTCTCACGTGAAAAGATGGATCTTACTGCAAAGGAACTGACAGAAGAAAAGGAAACTGCTTTTGAGTTTCTTTCCTCAGCATGACTAGGCCATCATTTTGATGTGAATAAATACCCAAAAGCTGAAGAATCTAAATGTCGTCTTTGACTCTAGTACAAAATAACAATAATGCTATTACTTAAACTACTTGTGGGAAAAAAAAGCATTTAAAAAATTGTGTGCTTAGTGGTACAGATTTGAGCGAATGTCTACAATCATGCTGTTATTGCTACATTCTAAATAAAAATATATATTCATGTGAAATTATCTCAGACTCTTAATTTCTAGCTAATATTTATTTTTTTCAGGTAACAAACTTGCATATCTCCTAGCTTGCCTAAAGAGTTGTGATTTTTTTTTTTTAATTTCTGGAAAAGGCTGGGAAGGTGGCTCAGTGGTAGAGTGCTTGCCTTGCATGCATGAGGCCCTGGGTTCGATTCCTCAGCACCACATAAGCAAAAAGAAAAAAGCCAGAAGTGGTGCTATGGCTCAAGTGGTAGAGCACTAGCCTTGAGCTGAAGAGCTGAGGGACAATACCCAGGCCCAAAGTTCAGGCCCCATGACCGGACCCAAAAAAATTTCTGGAAAAAGTAATAGCATTGGAAATTAGTCTGAAGTAAAGCATAAATTTCTTATATAGGAAATTCTATGAAAAATTAATCAATATATTTTTTCAATTGCTGACATAAGGAAAACATAACTTTTAAAACCTTAAAGATTCATTCATGCTTTTTGGAAAATTTGATTTTAAAATTAGTAGTTAAATAAGTTGCAGATAACAATTTCTGTCACTGGGTGAAATTAGAAGTCATTTTCATGGTAGAAAAAAATGATAGCAATAAGTCTTCCTCTATTCCTCTGTAGCAGAATAAGGAATCATTTACATTTCATATGAAATAAGTATCACAGAAGTTTTTGTAGTGTTAATGTTTATAGTCTAAGCTTAATTCTAGAAACAGTGTTAAAAAATAGTTCTTTGTTTTCTATGATAACAGGATACATTGTCTCTTCATTCTTTCCTTTGTCTGCATGGGGCTTGAACTCAGTGCCTAGACACTGTCCCTGAGCTTTTTTTTTTTTTTTTTTCTCAAATGTAACACTCTACCACTTTGAGCCACAGTTCCACTTACAGCTTTTGGGTAGTTAATTAGAGATAAGAGACTCATGGATATTTCCTGTCCCGGTGGGCTTTGCACTATGATCCTCAGATCTCAGCCTCCTAAGTAACTAGGATTACAAGTGTGAGCCACCAGCGCCCAGCAGTTTTTTCCCTCTTGTGCTTATCGCATTGTCCAAACGTGTGCCATAAACCTTTCAGGGCCTGCTGTAATAGTCCTCATGGATGCACAAGTACTTGTTGATTAGATTTGTTACTTAAAATTACCTATATCAGGGCTGGGAAGGTGGCTCAGTGGTAGAGCACTTGCCTTGCATGCCTGAGGCCCTGGGTTCGATTCCTCAGCACCACATAAGCAAAAAAGAAAAAAGCCGGAAGTGGCTCTGTGGCTCAAGTGGTAGAAGGCTAGCCTTGAGCTGAAGAGCTGAGGGACAGTGCCCAGGCCCAGAGTTCAGGCCCCATGACTGGACCCCAAAAAAAAAAAAAAAATTACCTATGTTAGCCTGTAGTCTGAGAGTACTAATTAATAGGCTTCTATTAATTAGAAATATAGGAGAATGTCAGAGTAACAGAGTATGGTCTATTAAGGTTATTGGAGAGCTCTAGATTACCTGAGGTCAGTTACTCCTGCATGGTTCCAGGTGTCTATTTTGTTTTTGCTTTTGAGAGTGTTCTTTTCTGCTTTTGTCTAACATGTAGGTAATGATTATGTGTTTACTGACTACAGCAAGAATCTCACTGTCCTAAGACTAGTTCTTACCACTACTTCAGAATTCAACCATCAGATGAGGTTTGGAGTATTCAGCTGCATGTGACTTCTTAGTAAGCAGTACTCCCGGAAGAAACCTCAAAAGAGGAGGAAGAGCAGAGGCAGGAAAGGAGGGAAGAAAGCAAGCCCTGGTATATTGCAACAAGAATGGATCTGGGCTCAGTAAGTTAGGGAACTGTCCTGAAGCCAAGGAGCCTGGTGCTGGCGGGAATTTCTTGTCACCTGTAAGTTCTGACAGTAAGGGTCATATAGCCCAAGAATAGTTGCTAGCTGTAGGAAGTGCTGTAAAAGAAAAACCATGTGAGGGCTGGGGAGGTGGCTCAGTGGTAGAGCACTTGCCTTGCATGCCTGAGGCCCTGGGTTCGATTCCTCAGCACCACTTAAGAAAAAAAGCCGGAAGTGGCACCGTGGCTCAAGTGGTAGAGCGCTAGCCTTGAGCTGAGGGACAGCGCCCAGTCCCAGAGTTCAGGCCCCACGACCAGAACCCCCCCCAAAAAAAAAAAAAAAAAAAGAAAAAGAAAACCCATGTGGTAGGAGCTGAGTGCTAAAAGGGATCTGGTCAAAGCACCATTATTCACAATACAATCACCCTTCAGTCTTATTCTCTTAGTGAGGGTTAAATGTGTTAGGAAAATGGAGGAGAATGGAAAGGGAATAGGCCAGACTCGATCAACAGGCTAGGCCCGTTTATGGGCACAGACCTTCCCATGGGTTTGGAAGTTGTGCCAGAGAGTAGAGACAGGAGCTGGGTTTTTATAGGAGGTCTAGGCAAGGAGGCAGAGGTTAATGAAAAAGCCACTAGGTCAAAGAAGGTGGATTCCTTTCATTTGGGCCCACAATGGGATGTTTACAGTGGGCTTAGGTGGATTCCCCTGCCAGCACATCAAACAAGTTCATACCTGGGATTTTGCCTGGGGTCTGTATGGGCCTGGGACAATCCTTTGAGATGAACTGTCATTTATGATTAAATGGAGAGGGCATGGTTGGGGTTCAGAATATAATAATCCACAGTGCTTTAGCTCTGGAAGAACCTCTCCTACTGTCTCTCACCAACCCCTTTTTCTCCCAAGAATGGTTACAGAAATAAGAATTCTTCTCTCCAGGGTGAGTCATAGAAACTACAACTATCCCCCCCACCCCACCCCCACACATACCCCAAAGCAAGCCATAAAACTTAAAAAGGTCACTTTCTTCCTTGCATTTGAGGATCCTCTTTGTAACAGACAGTTCCTACCCCATGTTTTGGGGGAAGGAAAGGGATAGAATGGAAACTTAGGATAAGAAGAATATGAACAGACAAGCAGGCCTTGCTGGGTCAGTTCCTATTAGGTCATATCATCTTGTCCAATCACATTTCTTCATGACTAAGCATTCTTCACTGAACCTACACATAAAAATAGGGAGACTTGACTGCTTTGGAATCTTCAGTCTGAAGATCTTGTATCACTAAAACTTTAACTAAACATTAGGATTTTTTTGGCCTATATTATTATTGTATTTATTTATTTATTTTTGGTGGTCATGGGGCTTGAACTCTGGGTCTGAGCGCTGTCCCTCAGCTCTTCAGCTCAAGGCCAGCACTCTACCATTTGAGCTACAGCGCCACTTCCGGCTTTCTGGTGGTTTATTGGAGATAAGAGTTTCATGGACTTTCCTGCCTGGGCTGGCTTTTGAACTGCAATCCTCAGATCTCAGCCTCCTGAGTAGCTAGGATTACAGGTGTGAGCCACCAGCACCCGGCTATTATTATTATTATTGTGTCAGACATGATCCTCTCAATAGATAAGAAAAAGTATAACTTTTTACCTGGCCACATTAAACCTGTGGGGTGGGTTGCCCATGATTTATGCCTCCATGATTTTCCACTCATGTTTCTTCACATCTGGCCCAGAGAACAGGCTTCCCTATTTCACTATACAGCTAAATTCAGGGCTCTACCTTTATCCAGGCTAGGTGATAATGATATTGTCAAGTTTCTGCAGGGAAGTTTCCAGAATAAAGTTTCTCACAGTTAATACTCCCTTGTTCAATTATTTATTCAAAAGGGAAATGTATCTGGGCAAGGCACTGTGCTGCCCCAGGACAATGATGAATTTTAACATCATTGAACATACATAAATTACAATAAGGTCTTTGGAGGAATAGTGCGATCTTAAGAAGACATTAGGGGCAAAAATCCACTTAGATAAAGATGGTTTCCAAGTCTTTCTGCGGAGTTAAGAACTGAAGAATAAAAAAGGAGAGGAGAATTTCTTTCCTTGTTGCCAAAGGGAGTAATAAATTGCAGAGTCCTGAAGTTGGAAAAGCTTTTTCTATTTCATGAAAGAAAAGACCAGTAGAGTACTAGAGCAAATGGGAGGTAAGATAAAGGTGTTCACAATAGAATTCTAGAAGAAGGCAGTAGCTGAAAGCCTCTCACCCAAGCTTAATAAAGATTTTGACATGCAAAAGTAACTCTAATGATCACATGTGAATCCTTTATCTTTTATGCCTTTTAATCAGAAATTTTTAAAAACAAAACATGGTTCATTTAAAAATTCTATTGGCTTTGGTATTGCCAGTTGATTAAACTTGAGTAGAAAGAAGCCATCCCTACTGTATTAAAATGCAAACATAGTAAACACTACATTCCTTGTATAGAATATATAAAAAAAAGATTTATTTGAAGTATAAGCCCTACTGACTCACACCTGTAATCCTAGCTGTTGGGGAAGACTGTGACTCAAGTTCATGAGCTCTCATTTCAGCCAAGAAAAAAACAAAACAAAACAAAAAAAACATGTGCAATGATGCCTCCCTATCATCCAGGGAAGCAAAACTAGGATTGTGTTCCAAGACGGGCAGGGCAAAAATTGGGACCCTATTCAAAAACTAGCAACTCATAAAGATAGGGGACCTGGCTCAAGTAATAGAGCACCAAGCAAACATACAAGACCAAGTTCACATCCCAGTACCATTCCCTACAAAATGTACAAAATGACTATGTAGAAAGAGCAAAATGAAAGTTTAATCATAAAAGTATTTTTTTTTGGGTCCGGTCATGGGGCCTGAACTCTGGGCCTGGGTGCTGTCCCTCAGCTCTTCAGCTCAAGGCTAGCACTCTACCACTTGAGCCACACTGCCACTTCTGGCTTTTTTTCTTTTTGTTTATGTGGTGCTGAGGAGTCGAACCCAGGGCCTCATGCATGCAAGGCAAGCGCTCTACCACTGAGCCACCTTCCCAGCCCTATAAAAGTATTTTTGAAGTGGAATAAATCTTTGAAATTATCCAATAAGATACTTTACATTTTTGTAAATAATTTAGCTAATGACAAGAAATTTAAAGTTTTATTTGATGCTCTTCCTGAAAGTAAAAATAAAGCTGGAATAAGTAGCAGA